ATAATTGTCCTGATTTTTCCCCTTTTGCTCCCTTTTGCCCAGCACCCCCCACTCCCTCAGGCAATCCCCACACCATTGTTCATGTCCAGGGGTCATGCATATAAGTTCTTTGGCTACTCCATTTCCTATACTATACTTTACATCCTCATGGCTATTCTGTAATTACTTTTTGTACTTCTTGATCCCCCTCATTATTTTACCCACTCTCCTACAACTCCCTCCCATCTGGCAACCATCAAAGTGCTCTGTGTATCCATGATTCTGTCTCTGTTCTTGTTTGCTTAGTTTGTTTTTTAGATTTAGCTGTTGATAGATAAGTTTTTGCCATTTTATGTTCATAGTTTTGATCTTCTTCTTAAGTAAGTTCCTTTAACATTTCATATAACAATGGTTTGGTAATGATGAACACTTTTAGCTTTTTTCTTGTTAGGAAATCTCTTTATCTGCCCTTTGATTCTAAGTGCTATCTTTGCTGGGTGGAGCAGTCTTGGCTGTAGGTCCCTGATTTTCATCACTTTAATATTTCTTGCCAATCCCTTCTAGCCTGCAAAGCTTTTGTGTGTGGGGCGGGGGGGTGCGGGGTGGGGGGTGTTTGAGAAATCAGCTAACAGTCTTATGGGAACTCCACTTTAGGTAACTGCCTTTCTCTGGCTGATTTGAAGATTCTCCCTTTAAACTTTGGCATTCTGATTATGATGTGTCTCGGCATGGGGCTTCTTTGCATCCATCTTGTTTGAGACTCTGTGCTTCCCAGTCTATTTCCTTTACCAATTTAAGAAAGTTTTCTTTCATTATTTTTTGAAATAGATTTCCAATTCCTTGTTCTTTTTCTTCTCCTGGCACCCCTGTGATGTGAATGTTGGACATCTTGAACTTGTCCCAGAAGCTGCTTATACTATCCTCATGTTTTTGGAGTCTTTTTTCTTGTTATTGTTCTAACTGGTTGTTTTTTTGCTTCCTTATGTACCAAATCATTGATTTGACTTTTGGCTTCATTCACTCTATGGTTGTGTCCCTATAAAGTTTCTTTATTTCAATTAGTGTATTCTTTGTGTCTCCTTGGATCTTTTTTATGCTGTTGAGGTCCTCACTAAGTTTCTTGAGCATTCTTATAAACCAGTGTTTTGAACTCTGCATCTCATAGACTGCTTATCTCCATTTTGTTTAGCTCATTTTCTGAAGTTTTGATCTGTGCTTTCATTTGGGCCACCTTTCTTTGTTTTCTCATTTTGGCAGCCTCCCTGTGTTTGTTTCTATGTATTAGGTAGAGCTGCTTTGACTCCGTGTCTTGCGTAGGGTGACCTCTAATGGAGCAGGTGTCCTGCAGGATCCAGTGGCACAGCCTCCCCTATCACCGAAGTTGGGTACTCAAGGTACACCCTTCATGTGGGCTGAGTACACCCTCCTCTTGTAGTTGAACCTTGGGTGCTGTTGGTGAGTCAATGGGAGGGATTTACTCAGGCCAGTCAGCTGCAAGGATTGGCTGTGACCACTGACCACCCATCTCTGCCCTCCGTGGAGGATCAGTTGTGCAGCGGCAGGGTGATGGTGCTCTGATGTGGTCTGTACCTGTACTGGGTGTGTTGGTCCTGGGATTTCCCAAATGTTGTAGACCAAGGTCAGTCACCACCCATGTTTTGCCTGGGGCCCTACCTGAGCTATAAAGTAATCTGACGTGGCTGCTACTTGTGCTCGGCTTAGAGATTCCAAGGCAAAGCCAAGCTGTGAATCTAGGCTTTCTGTTGCTAGTGCTGGGCCTGGGGCTCACTTAGGGTAGCTGTTGCTTGTTGGAGAGGATTTAGGAAGTTGTGAAGCAAGAGCCAAAACCAGCCATTCATGTGGAAAAGGAGCTCAGGTAGAGCAGAGTCTCTGGGGGTCTCCAAAGTGGGTTAAACAGTATTAGCTAGGTTGATGGAGTCTCAGTTATGGCACCAGCTTGACAGTTCTGTGGCTCTGTGGGGGAAGTATTTAGAGAAGGAGCAATGGCCTCTGCTCACCTTGATGCTAGACACTCAGTTTCTCCCTGTATGCCACAGGTGCTTTTCAAGCTGCTACCCTGGTGCTGGAGCTCAGAGTGAGTGAGTCTGAATAGGTGAGTCCATGTGTGGGTTCTTTAAGAGGAACTGCTTGGGGCTCCAGCAGTTTCTTCTACCAACTCAATCCCTGCTGGTTTTTGCATCCAGAAGTTGTGGGGACTTATCTTCCTGGCATTGGGACCCTTGGCTGAGGGGCCTGGTGTGGGGACTGCGATTCCTTGCTCCCGAGGTATCCCTCCCAAATTTTTATCCACCACACGTGGATGTGGGACCAGCCCAATTTGCATTTGCACCCCTCCTACCAGTCTGGGTAGATGTGGTTTCTTTAATTCCATAGTTGTCAGACATCCCTTCAACTTGATTTCTGATGGTTCTGAGTGATGGTTGTTCTATATTTTAGTTGTAATTTGGATGTGGTTGTGTAAAGAGGCAAGCCATGTCTGCCTATGCTACCACCTTGACTGGAAATCTGGCTTGGGTTCTGAAGAATGAATAAGAGTTTATCAGGCAGAGAGTGTGTTGCATAGGAAAAGAACATGAATAGAGGCAGAGGACTGTAGGCCAGCCTGCCATTTGAAGGGCAGAGGTCGGGCCTCTGCCTCTATGTACTGTCATGTTCCAGGGAAGGCACTGGGCCTTGCCACCAGTTGAAGAGATTCAAAAATGGTTTCTGCACTGAGCATGATGATAAAAATGTAGGTGAACATCCAAACATCACAGAAGCCTCTTTTTGGACTCATTCTCTGAAGCGCCATTTCTTCTACCCTCTGCCCTGCTTGACTCTGGCTGCAGCTACTGCCCTCCAGGATCTTTCTCACAGTCCTTTCCTGTGGCCTGACCTTGCATTTGCCTGGCTCTGCTTTCTGTCTCACATCTTTTCTTTATCCCGACCAGGAAAGTTGACTAACACATGGAAAATAATTTAGTTTTGACCTTGAGGTATGCCCCTCCAACTATTCAGTGAAGGGAGTATGAAGGCTGTTCCAAGCATAAGAGAGAAGAAATGAGTATGCAATTTTTTATTTCCTGTGCAGTTTTCTCAACTCTGATGTCTTTGGCTATGATGTTTTTCTCTTCAGTCTAGCTCATGTGATGCCTTTTTTTCATAGACTAATATTTTATTTGTTTTTATAATGAAATACATTAATTATTGAAAGAATAGTATAATGAATACATGTGTGCCCACCTGCCCTCTTTAAAAAAAACAATGATAAGATGGTTGCTGGAGGCTAGCAAGAGGGGGAAGCAGGAGTTGGTGTTTAGTGGATATAGAATTTCAGTTTTGCAAGATGAAATAATTCTAGAGATCTGTTGTACAACAATGTGAATATACTTGTCACTACTCCACTGTATGGTTAAAATGGTTATGATAATATATTTTATGCTATGTGGTTTTACCACAATTAAATGTGTGTCTGTGTAAATGTGTGTGTGTATTATTATATATAATATATTTGTACATATACATATATATTACATATATAATACACATACATACACATACATTATATACCAACAATACCTTTTACTCTAAAATCATTATCTTTGTTAGCCTGAAAAGGCACGTGTCTGCTGGCTCAGTGGTCTCCTCGAGTCACAGAGGGAAGGATTCTAGTTGGTTCTGCCTGGGTCCATATAGGTATAAGGACAGGAGCCCAATGAGGGTCAAGCCCCTTGAGAATTCCTCTTGGGAAAAAAAAAGTGCCAGGGAGGAGGATCTTGGCCAGGGAAGTATTTACTCATACTTTTCCTTTTTTCTAGAGTTAGCTTATCAAAAGCACATTCATCAAGATAAAAGGTATTAGGGAGATCATAAAATGGCAGAGGAAAAGACTGGGGGAGTGTGAGAGAATGAGAAATTACCTGGTCCAGAAACACAGTTCTCCTTTTGTGGTCTGGCCTAACCCAAGGGGAGATTATCCAGAGCGGATCTGAAGACTGCCTGGGTGATCTGTCAGGCAAAGCTCCAGAACCATGCTGTCCCCTAGGGGAGCTTCAAGTACATATGGAGGGGACAGCCAACCTTAGAATGTCCTCCTCGCCATGTTTCTGGAGTCCACCAGTGAACGCACACTGAGGGGTGACCCTGTGCTCTCCTGGGAAAGCTGAGGGTCTGCCAAGAGCGTCATCTAAACACGTGATCATTCCATCTGCACAGGGACACCTGCCTGGCTGAAGCTACAATCTCCTCAGAAGATATCTGGGGTCTATTCCACCAAACCTAATGAATACGCTAAGCCCCTAAGCCCCTCATCAGCAAACAGAGCCACAAAAGTTTTAGTCTGATGGTTTAGGTTCAGAGTTCAAGCTCCTGAGGAAGGAAGTTGGGATCTCTGCAGGCAGCCTAAGACACAGCTGTGGGCTTAGGGAGTCGGGGCTTTGCCACGGTGTTCCTTCCTGTGTTCCCATCAAATTGGCTTTTGGAGGGAGGGTGAAGCCCCTGCCATTTCTGAAGGCAGGAACTGAATGTCTGCTTCTAGGGCACACTCCCCTGGCGCTGAGCCAGAGCAGCAGGGTTTGCAGGGAGCAAAGTATCCTGCAGGGAACCCCACAGACCTGTTCCAGGTTTGGTAATAGCATTTCTCCCCAAGACAGGTGGCAAGACAGGCACAGGATCTTGGCTCACAGGCAGAATCAGAAACCTTGGATCACTCCATCCAACCCTCCTCATTTGACAGGCCAATGGCCCAGAGATATTGAGCAACCTGCCCAATGTCATAGAGCTAGTTAGAGCAAATCAGAACTACAACTCAGGACCTGCAGATGCCAAGGCCTGAGTTCTTTCCCTCCCACTGCCTCCTTCTAGTACCTAGCGTGGGCCTGCACTTAAAGCAGAGTCTTAGTTATTGTAGCTTCCGCTGAACTGTTCTAATGTTAGGGCATCTGGTATCTCCTTTCTGTGACTCAGTCCCTCCCATGGGGGCTCTGCAAGGCCCACACCATGATCTGGATCTTGTTTCAGCAATGTGGGTCCTCCTCCGTGTCCCGGGGCTCCTAGCTTCCCTGACCTTGCTCCACGCTGCAGTGTCTGTCACATGTGGTAAGTGTCTCCCTGTATTGCTTTCCTGGGGCTGCTGTAAGAAAGGGCCACAAACTAGTTGGCTTAAGACAGTAGACACTTTTTTTCTCCTACAGTTCAGGAGGTTGGAAGTCCAAAATCAAGGTGTCGGCAGGGTCATACTCCTCTGAAGGCTCTAGAGGAGACTCCCTCCTTGCCTCTTCCAGCTTCCAGTGGCTCCTGGCCATCCTTGGGAGTCCCTGGCTCACAGCTGCATCACTCCAGTCTCTGCCTCTGCCTTCACATAGCCTTCTTCTCTGTAGCCTCTGGGTGTCCTCCCCTCTTGTTGTAAAGCCACCAGTCAGAGGATTTGGAACCCACCCTAATCTGTACCTGTATAACCTTATTTTAATTAATTATGGCTACAAAAACCTTGTTTCCAAATAAGGTCACATTCTGAGGTTCTGCGAGCACCTGTATTTTAGGAGCACACTACTTGACCCACTCACTATGCTCCTCTTGTTCAGAGAATGCATCCTGCCCACCCCCACACCCAGACCCCAATATGAGTGCAAATGAGCAATCCCACCTCTACCCTACACCATCCTCTCCCTACTTCAGGGCCCTGGTGGTCAGCTTAGTCCTTGCTGGACTTGCTTAAGGGTCTGGCTCACTAAGAACCAGAAAAAGCCCCGCAGCCCAAGAGCCTTAGCCAACCTGAACAGCCACACACCTTCTTAATTCCATCACTGGGAATTCCAGTGGACTCCCCAAAACCAGTTTTGACACCTTATGGAGGATCATAGAGCGTTCTTCCCATCCTGTGCTTTTTGTCCTTGAGGACTCTTGTGAAAATTCCCTAACCTTGATCTTTTGCCTGCTCAGATCTGGGGGTTGGGGGTGGATAATGGCTGAGAAAGAGGGAGATGGAAGCAGAGGGCATCGCAAAGGAGTGGTGTCTGACACCCTGCTGCTTATTTCTCCCGCTCCAAGCACAGTCCACCAGCACTGCTGCCATCTCTGATACTGTGAGTGAGGTCAAGGCCCAAGTCAGCAAGGCCTTTCTGGAATCTCGGACCAGGTACGTGAGACACACACACACAACACATTTCCCTTCCTAGGCTTCCTGTTAACAACAAACACATCTAGGCCAGCCCTGATAAGTCAAAGAGCCGAAGCAGCTACACAATCTGCCGACCCACCTCCCCACCTCGGAGCACTTGGCAAGCAGGAGTAATAGCCCACAGCTCCTAAAGTCCTCATCCTGTGGGTAACTTGAAGAGGATGTCTAATCTAATTCTGTAAAAACCTGCAGAGGTCTCAGTCAAAAGAATATTAGGATAGGTTGAATATCACACACCCTTATGAAACACGTGTTATAACCAAACTGATGGCTTAAACGTTATGGGTTAGCATTAGCCATGTACAAACACCCAGGTAGTCATGACCTTGAACCTATGCATCTGATATATGTACCAATATTTAAGAAAAGAGTTTCTTTGTATCTCTCAGATTAGCCGAGACCTCCCCAGGGGTAAGCACTTCCTTCTGCATGGCCCATGTTTCCTTGGGTCATGCATTCCAGTCTCAGAAAGCCTGTAGGTGGAAGTTCTCCATTGATTCAGCTAATACTGACTAACTTAGGTCAGGTCCTAGAAGTGGAACTGAGACCTGGGTTCACATGCAGTTGACTGACTGGGGAGTGCTCTCAGGAAAGCTATGATGGAGGGAGGGAGCAGAGAGGTGAAGGAAGAAGCTGAGCAAGGATGTGGTTTAAGGTCTAGCCTCAGCTGACCCTAAAGGGAGACCTGACACAGCACCAGCCACCACTTCTTTCCTTCAGGCTCACCGAGAAGGTATTAATAGCCAACCACAACTCCGGGACACCCAATGGGGCCTTCCTCTTTTTTTAAAAAAATTATTTTATTGTTGTTCAATTACAGTTGTCTGTATTTTCTCCCTACTCCTCCCCCCACCCCCCTACAAACCCACCTCCCTCCCTTGCTTCCACCCTCCCCCTTGGTTTTGTCCATGTGCCCTTTAGAGCAGTTCATGAAAACCCTTCTCCCCTCTGTCCCCTTCCCTCTCCCGTCTGGCTATTGTTAGATGGTTCTTATTTTCAATGACTCTCATTATATTTCATTTGCTTTTTTCTTTTGTTGATTATGTTCCAGTTAAAAGTGAGATCACATGGTACTTGGCCCTTGTCATTAGTATTAAAGCAAAGAGGAAGCTTCTCATGGTGGCAGGAGGGAAACAGCAGGTATTCCAGCAACTATTTCCCAATGCAAATTCTTCCCCTTCCTTAATGTCAGCCCTTTCATAGCCCTGAGCTGGGGTTAGAATAAGAGCAACAAACCCAGTGTTCATCACCTCCTCTGCAAGTCATGCACAGGACGACCAGCCCTGCTTTGGAACTTGTCCTCACTGGTGAGTTCCTGGGCTTGGGGGGTCTCATGGAGACATAAAGGATCACATTTAAACAGCTTGTTACACAAACACACAGACAATGCAGGAACTCTTCATGGAATGAAGGAATAAAACAGAGCACTGGTTGCTCCTCCTGGTACAGGAATCAGGGAAGCATGATGGAGGAGGAGGAGCCAGCCCTGCAGAGGGATGGTATTCCAGGGCCTGGGAACAGCAAAGGTAAAGGTCCTGGGGCAGGAAAGAGCTTAGGGTGCTCAGGAAACAGAAAGAAGGCTGATGTTGGTGAAGGCAGTAGGCAGGGAGGAGCACACACAAGTGAGCACAGAGAAGTTGACAGTAAGGGCCATGGGGTCAGAAAGCAAATTAGGGGATGCTAGGGGGTTGGTGGGGGAAGAGGAGAAGAGGAGAGGAATTGGAAGTGACTGCTTAATAGATATGGGGTCTTTTCTGGGGAAGATCAAAATGTTTTGGAGCTAGAAAGAGGTAATGATTGCACAATATAATCTGCATGCATGCAGCAAACAGATGGACTCATGCATGTCCCAGTGGAAGACAAGGAATTCCTTTCCTCAGAGGATGGTGCTACAGAACAGACAGAACAGAGGCCAAGGGCGGGGGGCAATTGGTGGCCCACCCAGGGATGCCAAAAACTGTTACAGAACATGCCCACCCACAGGGACAAGGGGGGTTACTATTTACTATTACTGAAAGGACACTCAGGTTTGTTATGTGCACCACCTTACAGGAAAGACATCTCTCAATGCCAGAGATTTGTGAAAAGGAAAGGAAATGTTTATTTAATGCTCTACAGACTGAAAGTAGTGCCCTAATGTATTCACTAAAATATCAAAGTCCTTTGGGATAGCCACTGATGCCCACAGTGCTTCCTTCTCCCCTGTCCTAATTTGGGGTACCGTAACGCCAGAAAAGAAGCAAACATGCGTGTCTCAGGCCACAGGCACCATCAGGTGTGTCGCCGTCCAGGCAGGACCTCTAGTCCAAAGCCATGTGGCACCTTCTCGTGGCCTACTGGCGAGAGTTCTTCAGACTTCTTCCAGGCAAAGTCTCTCCTGCTTCCCAAGCCACGCAGTCAAAGGGAGCACACCCAAAGCCATGTGGTCCTCTTCTACCAAAGCTGCAGGGGTCCCCACTCTGGCCAAAACCACATGGTTCTTCTGTCCACCAAAGCTGTGGGGGTCCCCACTCTGGCAAAACCTCGTGGCTCTCCCTTACATGGCTGCAGGGGTCCCCACTCTGCCAGAAGTGTGTGGCTCTCTCTTCTCTTGCCACAGCCACATGGTTCTCTCTGCACTGCCACAGCCCCATGGTCCTCTCTCCAATGGCTTTGGCCTCTGGGTTTAAATCCCCATGCCAATCTCCTCTGCAGCCCCATTTCCAACTCTTCCCACAACCGGCTACACTTGCCAGCACTCTTATGTCCTTCCAGCTTTACTGGGCTGCCATAGTAAGTCTGGGCAGGTGTGGCCCCATGTCATGGAGCCAATCTTCTCTAAGCTCTCATGCAGGCACTGTAATCAGGGGGACCTGCCCCCCAGTTACATCGTGGGTGGAAGTCCCTCCCTTCTCCCTGGCTCAAAGCATAGTCACAGCTATTTAACATATCTATGAAGCAAGTTAAAGGTTATAGATATGTTAAATGACCATGCCAGAGGTTAGCTGCAAAGCTGTTGCTATGCAAAACAGCTCTCAATGGCCCTGCTGCATGTGTCCCTTCGCCAAACTCACACCTGTTGGGGGGAGGGGTGCGGACATCCCAATATTTCCTGGACACCTTGAGTTCTGTAGCCCATTCCAAATCCCTATTTGGGGCCCCCCTCTTGGCTGCACCCTGTAACAATCCCTCCTTTCAGATATACAACCAGTTTATAATCATATAAAGGGCAATGGACGAAGGTCGCATTTTCTTATAACTACTTCTGCCTGGACATGGATGTTGTCCTATCTACCCTCGGGTCGGGGGTATGCAGCCTGGAGGGAGTCCTTCCTGTAAGGGGAAGGACCTTACAGGATCCTGAATAATTGGGTGTCACCAGGAAGCTTTGGACACTGAGGCTTGGTGTCCAAAGGCTGGCATTACTGGACCGTTGGCATCCTGGTCATATTCTGGAGGTGACCGATTTGGAAAGAAAGTTGGAAGGCACAATTAAATCATAACCACTAAATGATGAAGGCAGGGCCTTAGGTAAAGAATGGCTTATCTGGAGGAAGGTGTACAAGGCACGCTACACCTATTCAAAACTCTAGTGGCCCACTATACGTCACTTGAGTCGAGGGGAATGTACTAGGATTTCCCTCCTAATTTGAAATTTGAAATTTCTGAGCCCTTTTTGTTCAAGCCATCAAGACAGAAAAGGGAAAATCAGTTCTAAAGTGAAGCCCACAGACTGCCTGAACCTTTCACCAACCCAACCACTTAGTTCAGCCAAACCGTTGAGTCTCAGAGGGTGATGATGAAGATGGGCCCCTTAAGTGAGGCCTGTATTGCAACCAGTCACTCAGGTAATGAGGATATAGGCATATGCCCTATGAAAACAGAAGAGCACACAGGTTAATTCACACAACAATCTCCAAACCAGTCTCTGTGCCTGTGAGACTCTTCTGGGAAGACATTCAGTTGCAAGGTCCTACCTGTCATGACATTTAACAATGGCAATTTGACAGGCCTTTTACATCTGTAAATCGTACATCTTTGGTGATATTACAAACCCAAGTTTCAACTTTCAAATGAAAACAAACTCTCAAGACAATTAGCTGTGCCATTCTGATGTCCAATACTGAGCATTGTGATTTTCCTTGAACCACAATTTTTCTCCTTAAGATCACCCTCACTGTTATTAAAGGGACTACGTTGAGTCCAGCTTTTAATGGTGACTGTTTGCATAAACTCTCCTAGAGCAGCCTGGATCACTTATGATCTTTAAGGCTGCTTTGCTGGAACTCACACAGGGAGCCTTTAGACTGACTTTTCAGGCCGCCCCACAGGGCACAGAAGGAGAGCCACACATCTGCCATCTGGCTTCGCCTGTACCAGTTGTTTCATTCATATCCTTGAAGCTTCCACTGTGCCTACAGGTTCTTTTTTAGCCATCTTTCAGGAAAATAACCTTCGTTCCTTCTCTGGAAAGACTTCCATGAACTGCACAACCAACCAAAGTACCAGGCTTTTTCTCGTGGGCTTTCACTAGCTTCACAAGTCAATCCCAGTTCCTCAGGGCTTTCTGGTGACAACCAGAACCCAGACATGCCTCCTTCAGGTGTGACATTCCAGTCAAAATCTTGGTTAACAAAACCACCATAAATGACTGGTCTTATTGGATTTATGCAAAGAAATCTTATGTCTTCATTCACTCCTTCAGAATGCCAAATTCTGGAGGGATCAGGTAGGGAGAAAAATACAAAGTGTGAAGGAAAATCCTTTTCCTTCTGATATCCACCAGGCTTCTCAAAACTTTCCTACAGAGTGTGAAGTTTCAACCTTCCTTGGAATCCTCAATTTCCTTTTCAGAGCAGATACAGAGCAAAATCCAAAACACAGAGTTCCAGAACAATACACAGGTAGGAGCATTCTTTTGCACCAATGTGTCCATTGGTGCCTCGCAGAGACATGCTCCTTCAGGCCTGGTCTCTTGG